CCTCGCCTACTTTTCAGTGAACCCGACCATGTGGTGTTTCCTTCTCCATCGCCTACAGCCACTCAACCCAGAACTCCTATTTGGAACAGTTCCGAGCCATCAAACAAGCTTTCGAGTCTAGATTCAACGCAAGAGATTAGCCGCTCAGTGTTAGAAATCGCTTTGGCGGAACATCGATTCATATTTTTAGCCCGAATCCTTAGATAAGCTCACAACTACCCACCACATTTTCAGGCGAAGCAGACTGCTGAAGGCCCATCGTTATAGTTAATCCATTGACTGTTGTGGATATTCATACAATTGAGTGTGTTCGGAGTACTGGCGTATCTGCTTGGGTCAGCAGCATGGACTTGACTTAGACTCAATATATGTCTCTAGCTTTCGTTGCATAGAGTAGAGAATCAAGTTTATATTAATATATATTTTACTACCACCCAAGTGATGTCACGAGGCTGTCCCTAGAACGAACATAGAGTATGCCAAACCTACGAGACCATAGACCGAAAGACTTTCCGACTCTCACGAGAAGCGCATTCAAATTCACCTCTGCGACCTCTAGAGCCGGCTCAACGATGGACTTGCCGATGAATAAAATGGAATTCAAGCTGCAAAATATCAGCAAGCTACCGAGCCGTTAGGCTTCCCCTGCGTTTGCAGTAAGGCATTCTGAGAATCAACCGCCCAGCCTCCTGGTGCCTCAAAGTGTCTACTGCTAGTACGAGAGCGGCAACAAGCTCGAGTAGCTTCGATAAAGCCACTGACTCCGAGGTCCATGTAAACGTGGCCATTCTAAAGCAACCATGAAAATATGTCACTGTACTTCTCTATAGAACTGCCGGAATACTGAGGTGGCATTTATATCACGAGCTCTCTACAGTAGTCGTAACGATTGGCGGTTAACATTGTTGTAATCTATGCAGCAACATGACTGCGTTAGATAAACAGTTCATATTAGAATATTATGCGCTTGCGCCATGAGATATGATTAATCCATATCATCAATGATTGGCACGAATAGGTATTACCGAGCAGATGTCCGACGGCATACACTGGCTTTAGGATCTCCAACAACCTTCCTATTCAGGTTAAAAAAGGAAGTTTGTTGGAGTTCACATTAGTGTGTGGAAACCCCCGCTTTCATGTATTTAGAGGGACTTCTCGCTCAACAGAGAAATATAGCAATTTTCTTACAATAAACTATCCATTAAATATCAGGGAACTTCGTTGTATCGTCAATACTTTCACCATATCTCTAAACCAACCTCAGGGCTAGTATGCAACTCTTAAAATCTGCAGAGCTAATTCAATTAACATGTATCTTGATTTTTGAATTTGATTTCATTTAGCCCGATTTGGCGCCTTAAGGCCCATGCAGGTGTCTGCGAACTCTAATATTTATACAGGAGGAAACCTTTATGGTAAAAATCCCCTCAACTTTTCAATTTATATACACTTTAGAGTTGTGTTACCTTCAAGAAGTGCTCTTACACTGTTATATCCAGTGCGGATACCGTCCACTTCATTGCTACTTGCAGGAGATCATCTTTCCCTTCTCTCCTCTCTCTCCCTCATCGTGGCCTCGACTTCAAGTGTCAGTCGAAACTGCTCTAGCCTTCCTGCTGGATCCATCTAGTTATCCTTGCAATATCTTTGGGGTTATTCATCATGGCCTCAAATGACCGATTCTCTGCCTTTCTCAGTATTTCTCCTCTACCTTTGGCCCAGCTAGTGCAGGCCATGATCATATGCTTCACATCCTAGGACGGATATCCACATTGGCATCGTGGATTATCTACTCCTGGAACTTATCTTCTCTGTAGATAGGAATTGAACCCAATGTGTTCGCTTCTTATCTGCATGGCCATGCTGCTCTGGGCCCTGCTCAGGTCTCATATATCTTGATTCTTGTCTAATCTAGCCATACGAGACACGTATTCACAGTAGTTAAACTTCTCTCCCAACGCCATTCCTAAACAGGTGACTTATTACTTATCAAGATGGTTAGTCTCCTTCATTTCAGTCATTATCTAGACCTATTCTGTAACTGTTGTTGAACTTCATCAAGTGATCCGGCTCACTCGGGACTGTGACAAGAAACATAGAGCTATCTATGTTTTCAATATCACTATGGTAGTCTGGTTATTATTGCCCGAGACAGCGGCATGATTATCTTTGTTGATCTAGACATTCTGGGATATATCTGACGAAGTAGCCGCGTCATTACGGTCTGGCCGGATTACAGAACACTGAGATCTTGTAAAAAATGAAAGGGCTAATCAACTTATCCAAAGACAGCTCAACTCAGTGAAAAATGTACAAAGCAAGGCATAATGTACAACACTGTAAGGATTCCTCTTGAAAATCCTTCCCTCAGTATATAATTTTACCCTTCTTCCCATGTTTCTAGGACAACAGTATAATTCTTGGCATATGGTATCGTTGAGGTTCTTAGTTCCTAGGATGATACGGTTAATAAACTTTGAGCGTACGGGGATCTTAGGTCAACGGTGACTTGGGATTTCTGCTATATCTTCTCTATTGTGAAATCCTAAGACGGTGTATGACTGTCCTTCTAAAATTACAGTGTGTGCCCAGTATATACCGGTGCCTTAATTAGTGTGCCTAAAGACTGGGGTACACGTGACAAATTACAGTACAATACAAATGACCAGGGATCCTCATCATGTTGATATTAGGTTAAGGTCTATGTTTTGATGAGCTAGCAGAAGCAAAGCGGGTATATGTACGATGGCTTGGTCTCCAGGTAAGGAGTTCTTCACGATAAGTTTTCTGTCATACCCAACATCTTCAGATCATCTCTGGTCGCCTTTAGCACCTTTAGCCACTAATAGTATCCGCTCGAACTTTTAGTCTCTCTAGATATTTATATTACCTACAATTCAAACCTTTAGTTCCTCTAAGTGATCTCAAGTAGACCTTCAATCATCTTTTGCAGCCCATCCAACCTCTCTTCCACTACAATTACACTTCAGTCCGTACGTCTTCGCTCCAATCTGACAGACACTTTCCCTGATGAGGTACACGACATGAGTTCTCGCAGGGTGAATAAAAACGGACTGGTGAGACTTGACTTACAGGTGCAGCGCAAGGGGGAACCAGAAGTAGCTCTTGCAAAAGACACTTAGCAGTTTTCAGTGCTCCGCGAGCTGGGAACAGTGACTTGATGGCATACTGCCATCGCCTTCACTACATGCCAGCCCATCTTGGCTGCGATTTTCGTGGAATTAAGCCAGTAGCTTATCTTTTCAAATTCAGAAAATTGAAGGTCATTTAGTTTCTAATTAATAAGAGGCGGCAGACGCAGACACTGTAAAATCTGCGCGGGTCAAGTTGATTGCCGATCTCCAACAACTGTGTCTATGGGAGTAATTTTTTTGAGATGGTGAACTTAGAAATTGGGTGGGTGACCATGAGATTGACATGGTGAGTGTAGATGAAATGGAATCGAGGTCCAGGCGCATAGCAGCCGAAAATATTGAGACATATGTAGGATTCGCAAAGCCGAGTTTCGTGAAAAATAATATTTTTTTCCGGGTTACTGGAAGAATTACGACCTCAGATGTAGACGCTTGTTGACGTGATCTTATTATTTTGGTGGTGTTAGGCCTATCACGCAATTGATAGTTGTTGTCATGATACGGCAAGATCCACTAAAAAAGCAGTGGATACCATTAATTTAGCATGGTAACCAAAAAATAACCCGACTCCGAGCATTATAAACTGCTTACTTCGTATGCGTGGTCTTTGAGAATTCTAACAAGAACCGAAGTGATCCCACCTCAATCTTCACGGATCGAACCTAAACTTGACGAATGTCACTCAATCTAAAATCGCATATCCTTCATGGGTTAGAGATCTAGACAGCGTATGATAAACCTCATATTGTTCAAACTGAGTTCATCTATAGACTAGAGAAAGCATATTTTGGGTTATATTTATCTTCTTGGTATAATTACATACTCATTCCTTAGGCCTGCTGTTTGTTTCAGAAAATTATCAAGAGATATACATCATTTATTTGGTAAGCTGCACGATCGCTTACTTGTAAATTAAGCAACCAGTTTAGCTTGTGCGAGCAGCGACGCTGAGCACCAAGGTGAGAGAAAATACTGAAACGAATTTTGCGGCTTTTTTGTGAAATTTACATTCATCTTTACTTTGCTGTAACCGGTTCATGAGAATGGAATAATAGCAACGGATTACATTGGAATGTAGCATCTTTCGTCCTCCAACTGCAACATCTCAGAGCTCAGCACCTCACAGTATACTCAATCGTATCTATTTTTTTCTTCCCCCTTTAAGTTATCTTAGAGGCTTCAAGGTAATTTGTTTCGATAATAAGTATCGCTTGTCTGATAGCATCACCGTGCATTAAAGTTGAAGTCAATTTCATAATCTATAGCTTCTCTCTATGGATTCACACTTTTGAAGCACAGCTATTAATTCCCCAATTTATTTTGGTGTCGTATGGGATTCATCTTGATGGAATCTGAATGATTCCCGCGTAGGAGCTTGCTGAGGCCAAAGAAATACAAAAATCTCAAACCCATACTGGGTCTTTATGCTTAAGCACACGGTAAACAAAATACATTTGAGTATCGTGTAATCATGATCCCTTTTCGACCTTGACAGAAGCAAATGTAATAGGGAACTAACTTTGGAAAATTTCGCCATAATTCCTGGTTGGCAAGTACAGCTGTAACTATAGCGGATTTTTCTTGTCAAAAATAGTGGATGTGAAAAGTGCTAATCACAAAGTGTCCTTTATAATTCGTTTAATCCTTCCTTAGTCCAACCAAAAAACGCAGCTGTTTATTATAAAATCGATCCCATATTACCAATTTTTGGACTGGATTTTGGATAGTTAGACAAACAATTGAACTAAAGCAATTCAAAACTTGATTTCTACTGAATTTAAGATATGCCGATAGCGCATGAAAGTCTATTCTCATCTACGTGAGCAAAGTTGGTCTATTACTTTATTCAATTAAAATAACAGACGAGTCTTTTTTTTGGTTACATGCATGTCTGTTGTCATGTGCCACAGCAGGCTTTGACGATTTTTTAATCATTGCCTTTTCGAGCCCATCTCTTTGCCATGATTCCGAGCATGTCCTGGATCGTAGTGTTGGACCCTTGATATCATTATCATGACTCCCAGAGTCATTATTTATCGGAATAGCACTCGGCGGGTGATAGTTTTGTCGGTTACTAAATCTCTTCGAAATAAGTGAGGACAAAAATAGACGTCCGGCTTCCGGAGCCTTATCGCCAGTTGAAAGACATTGAAAAGATTGAAAAGAATCATTTGTATCTAATGAAGCAGAGGCACATAGTAAATGGCTATCATTTAGTTCGTTTACATTTTGAATATAGATATCACGATTATCAGTCTCACATCTTGGAGCAGGGCGAGAAATGGCGAGCCGAGTGGCAATTCTTTCTCTTCTGGGAATACTTGCCTGATTTTTGTCAATGGCATTGAGGTAAGGACTAGGAGAGCTTTTTTCTAGTGTTGAATGCGTTAAATTATTAGCTGATAATTTGGCAAGATTTTCCTCAGCCTCTGGACTAGCAGATATATATAGAACTGGAGGAGAAATTCGACCTTGAAGACTTATATCTTGATCTTTCATTAGCACTGAAGCTGGCTGAGATATTCCTTGTAAAGGCTTTGTTTCCATAGTCGGGATATCTTGCAAAGATATTTCAAAAAACTTACTATCGCGAGATCCCAAGGGGTTACGGAGATGCCTCTTACCAGGACAATATCTAAATTTTGAGCTCATTTCTAGGGCTAGACTTGACTGTTTTTGATCGGTTGAATCACGAAGTTTGCGAGACCGTTTTTCATCTATTTCCGTACTAACTAGGACGCTTTGTCGATTTGAAAAGGGAGATTTTTTTAGTCTGGAAGAGCTCTGGGTTTCATTAGAATCATGCGATGGTTTAAATAATTGAATGGTTTTAGAGGAACTTGGCGTACTTGAAGCTTCTAAATTCTTGGAATTCTCTTTCAGTAGCGCTTTATTTTGGTTATCATCACCGTGTATCTCCTTAACATACTTTATAGAAGAGCCCTTTTTATTTGGGGTTGTTTCCTCCTCTGTATAATCTTTTTGTAGATCCAAAAGCAAGCACCGAATCTTGGCACGCATATCGGAAGGTTTTGGCCATTCCATATTCTCTGGGAATTTATTTTGCAAAAGGCTTGATATGAACTCGTCTGGGCTCCGAAGAAAAATTTCGATGTATCCAAGAACGAAAAGTCCGCAATCGAAGTAATTATCTTGCTGGGGAATTTTTTTTGCTGTTCTGCCGAGATTGCCAGGGTCTTGAATCTTCCTGTTAAATTTTGACTCAATTTCTTTGAGCAAATATTTCTTTAGATTTGTGCAGGTCAGAGAGTGGGCCTGACCAAAGGAATCTAGTGTAATTATTCGAGGTTTGGATGGATTAAAGCTTCGATGTTGTTCTATTGAATTTTCCAACTTTTCATTTGTTTTTTTGTATGAGTCACTTGTCGAAATGTACCTAGTTTGTGGAGATTCGAGAAGTATTGGATCAGTCTCGTCATCATTGTCGCTAGTTTGGGCGGCTAGAGAAACATTATTTGTCTTTAAGTTGGTTTCCAACGCAGGGATGTGAGTAGAGAGCTGGATGGGGCTTGATGGTATTATTGAAGAGCTCGAAAATTTCTGATCATATGTGTTATTCGCATTTTTACCAAATTCAAGCCTAGCGTCTGAGATTTGGGGCGCATCAAGAAGTTTAGGGGCATTACAAATAATCGCGACGTACCAATGAAAATTCTCATTGACAGGAACGACGATATAGTCATATTCCAGCAGATTAATCTTTGATGTCCATCGTTCAACATTATCATAATTAATCCCGGTTTTACCTTTGGAGTTTTTGGTCAACCTTTCATAGAAAAAAGTGTTGTAAAAGTAGACACGTTTAGCTACCTCAGGATATTCTTGCTCAGTTCGATGCTGTAGCCATCGTAGATAAAACATCATAAGATTGTCGTTTATGAATTCACCTTCATCTAATCTCTCAATATCTGCTTGGTCAACGGTAGCTTTATTTTTACCTTCCTTCGGATAAACTACACTTGAATACCATTGGTCCACCCACTTCGGATTAGCTTTGGTCCATTTCTCAGGCTCGGGAGTGCTTGAACGGATATCATCGATGTTTGTAATGATCCTTTTATTTGCAGGAGATCTTGGTTCTCTACTATAAAGTGCACTACGCTGAATGGGGCTCTCATTTTCTGAATGCGATGAAAATTTTTGCGAAATCTCCGAGTCAAGTTTAATCTTACTCCGAGCCTCATCGAATTGACAGCGGGTGGTCATAGATTTGACGATGCTTCTTGACCTATCGGAAGGAGATGGTATAATATCCGAATTGTGACTCGAGTAATCTTCACTTTTTTTACGGTAAGTCTCGAGCGATTTTAGATTATCTGTTTCGTCAATGTGTAATGTAGTAGGAGGCTCCTTTTGTGTAGACTTTGACACTGCTAGATCTGCTACTTTGCGAGTGTGCTCGAATATCTTCTCAAGGTGACGCCTGTAACTCGTTAGAAAATAGACCATAGCATACACAAGATACGCACACTCCATCTCTGTGAATAAATATTACGTTAGGGTCAACTCTTCTTAGTCTCCTCAAAAATTTCTTGCATTCATCCGATGTTTTAAATTCTAGACAAATTCTATGAGCACCATTGGCGATTTGAGGTGATGCTGGCTTGGAAATTAAGATTTTTCCGTGCGCTAGAGACCACTGTATTTTGTTCACTCTTCCTAGCTCCAGATCGGGTAAAAATTTACTCATCTCATTGTAAATTGCCAATGATTTTTCTTCATGATTCAAACTGACCGTCCACATTTCTTTTGATTCCATATCTTCATCCTTAGTAGAAACCAACCACACCTTGCTACCGCAGAAGACCTGTATCACTTGAAATCTTGATTCTCTCATACTGTTCTTGATTGACTTTTTGAGGAGTGTCGGGGACGGCGCAACTTTACGAGTGTTGCATTCTTCATCCGAAATCAGTTTTTTATGAAACTGTTTATCAAGTTTTCTACTGGCCCATGGATCAGCTGCGTCTCTTGGAGGGTTTTCCATTCCTTCCATGGTATTTCTGGAGGCTTTTCTGAATTTATTTGCCTCTCTGTAATGGGTAGCTGAAATCTCGTCAAAACTCTCATCATGACAAGGTCGCGTTAAAAGTCTTCTCTCAACACTTTTATCTGTGGAGATTTCATCATCATCCCTGGAAGAAAGATTGGTTCTTCTTGTAGGTATATGAATAGTTTCTGAGTTAGATTTATTGCCTAGGACTTTAATATTTTTATTAGGATTGAAGTGGGGTGAAACCGTGTGCCCTTTGAAGCTGCTAGTAGCCAAGTTGGTAAGCCCACGATTTAAACTCGAACCTCGCTCCGCAAGATTCTCATTCGTATTTTTTGATTTTGTAGTGGATTCGGATGTAGAAAAAAGATCAATCTCATCATCTTTACTGATAGCAGGTTCTTTGGCGTCAGTATCATTTCTAGAAGAGGATTTGATTTCAATTGGAATAAGATCTACTGAGACCGATTTTGTTTTCTGTATTTTCAAGGGTTGGAGGTTAAGCGCAGTGTGAAGGCTTTTGCTCCTCAGTCTTTTCTTATGCCTTGTAACATCATCGACCTCACAAAGCTCTGACACAGGAATGTTCTGATTAAGGCATTGGTTTGATGCTGGGAGTTGAGGATCTTGATTTTGATTTTTTGACAGCCTAGTTACTGCATCTAAATCGATGAGAGAGGAATTTCCACGAGGTTTTCGTCTCTTATTCAGCATACAGTCTCCTCTGAGGTCTTCCTGAGTGTTAAATGATTTGCTGTTTCTGTTCAACCTTGGTTTTTTGCATGTATAATAGTTGTCTTTGCTTTTATTCTTAAGTGTGTTTACGGGCATTGGGCCACCTGTCGGCCGCTTGATTGACGCAAAAGGTATTGGAGGACTTTCGATTGATGATCAATAAGATGAAGAGTAGTCAGAAGTACTAAGGAGCATACCCATAATCAGGTCCTGATGTTGTTCTTTTGCTGTAACGATCTCCAAATTCCCTACTTTTAGCATTAGTGTGAAAGTTCGAGTAAATTTAGAAGCTTTTACCATGAAGTTTTCTTCTTTCTAGAATCGGAAGAGTTTCTATGCGTGCCTTCGGCGTCTTGTAAGTTCGGCCTTGAACCTCCGTTAGTTAATTTTCAAATTAGTACATTTACGGCATAGACCAACTCATCAGTTAGAGGTAATTTTCGATCCTTATCTAGAGCGGTCTTTATTGGTCCCGACACACTAGATCTCATGTATCTTGAGGTACTACCAGTCTCGTTTTCCTAAACCCATTAAAAATATTAGCGTTTTCAGCTTATCGAGATCAGTTACCGAAAAAACTCCATTGCTATGGTGTGTAGCGAAAAGACGTACCACAGCCTCAGCTTGCTGAGTTTTATCTGGGCCCTGCATTTGCTCATGTGAGGATAGTAAGATAAGGTCATTCGGTATAATAACAGTGTTTTGGTTCACTTTAGACCCCTTGAGCTCTGCTGCGGGATTACTGTTGCTTCTATCCCTCGACATTTCCCCCTCATGTTCGAATTATACAATGGCCTTTCGAGTAAGAAGGTCTGCTCTGGTGTAAACGAACCAATCTTGACATTGGGATGATAGGTATTAAATTATTCTATTCTGACAACGAACTGAGGGAAAAGTGGTAGATTTGGGTTAGCTTGGGTCTTCCTGCCTTGTTTCATTGAGCTCATTGACCGCTTAGTGCTAGACAGTTAAATTTAGGGTTGCATTTTATCACGTGATACGCTAAGGTGCAACATTATTTCATTGATAATTTTGGTACGGTTTGTGTTATATGCTTGACAGTATCAGCAATGTGCCCAGATTGTTATCTGGTACGGAAGTAAACCATAACACTAGTAAAATTGTAATTCAGTGTGTTGCTATAGATGGAATATCATCTCATGATTAATCGCCGTTTTCACAGGATAAGCTCCCATTTCAACCCACTGGATTCATGCGCTATCGATCATGAGGAGAATGGTCACGCTTGGTCCGATGAGCCTCTCATCACATGATGTAGAGGCCAGTTAGACAATAAATCTTCCAACAAATATTGGAATGGTACCCGGAGAATAACCAGTGTGGATCAACAGACATTATCCCACACCAGTTCTCATCTTCACTTCCAACGGAGAATAGTAGAAAATCTGTTATTTGCCCTGACATGCGCTGTGAATCGTAGTTGAGTACAGTACTTTTCGACTCAATTACTAATTTGCACGCTTGATATCAAGATCTTTGGTACATAAAAAACTGAAAATTTCAACCCAACGTTACACAAAGAATAATCTCAGGAAATTTTGTGACGGAACAGAACCGTCTGAGATTTCATTTATTGCCGCTTGATCAATTGGAATGTGATATAACACTAATAAATGGTGAACAAAAGACCAACTTAAACCCGCTTGGGTTGTTGTGGATATAAATTGTGGTAGTATGATATGAGACGAGTTATCTGAATTAGAGGACAATCAAAACCAGAGGATTGTACTGTCAAAGGGCTCTCCTGGTAGTATGATCTTGATGCTACGACGAGCGATACATCTTATTTCCTATTAAACTATTTCTTTTCTGGATAAAGATCCTCTCTAAGTGGGATACTCAACTCTTCCCGAAGCGGCTTCAGCTCCTCTAGATACTGCTCGTACTGCTGTTTATTTTCAACTTTAGCTTTAATACCTGCAAAGAAAATTAAAGTTAGTCCAGCGAAGTTTTCTCCAAAAAGTTCTGTTTGTGGTACCTTCAAAAATTCGAACAGCAGTGGGAAAATCATTGACTCTTCTCGCAGCCCTGAGAGCTGCCACAATTACGGTTGGTGATGGCACTAGATCATAGGCGAATGCATTATTGAGATTACGCTGCGATGAACATTTAGATAAATATTATAATACTTGTGCATGAAAACATACCTGGAGATCGAAGACATCTTGCACCTTTTCAAATTCCTTTTCAAATCTGGGGTCAGGATAATGTAAGCAGCTGAAGTTGAAACTTTCAGGTATTCAATAGTATTTGATAATATGAAAACCATCATAATGTGCTCAACGCATACCTAGCAGTGAACTCTTCGAATGTCTCCTCCTTGTCTGAACATCGAGTAGTGGTAGTGCTGAAATGTGACAAATACGGCGCAGCTTTCAGGCATTGGGCTTGTTTTGCTGCAATGCCTGCGTGTAGTATGATGGGCGGATTGGCGCGAGTCGCGATACGAAGCAGCCTATGCAACGACATCCGGAAAACTGTGTTGATGTGAGAATGCTGACTGTAGACTAGATGAGTTAGCTAATAATCAAACCGAAGGCGCACGAAATCGGTCCGGGTCATGAGCGAGTCCGATACTGACTAATCAGCAATTATATAGTTGAGCAATCCTTCTTCCATCAATCTAACGTTCATTAATTGTACATCATGATGACTTTCTATCACTCAAGCTGCAGTGTTAATAACAACCTTGATGTACAATTATCGGAAACTCATTCTAAAATTTTACGTGTTGGACCAATCAGTGTGATACTGGAAATATTACATTAACCCGGATCCGAGGTTGGCCCTCATATCGTGACACGCACTGGTCCGATTTGCAGAAGCTGATCGGAATTCCGGCCACCTATATTGAGTTCCAGTTAACCTAAAGAACTAATAACTTGTTTGCAAATAACACGTCAAAAGATCTAATATCTCGTGCTCTACTAATTGTATTACAACTCTGCATCTCTGAAGTACCGAACCCTGACGCAAAATAAAAGGTTAATGGCTTGGGTTTGTTCAAAGTTACAGTCGCAGATCGAAATGATCAGGATGTGATCAACGTTGAATATTCTTCTGGTTTTAATTTACATGTTGTAACTAGCTTCTCTTTTCGTCGAAGTTCAAGCGGTGCAATCGAGTGGGCCACCTCATTGAAAATGATTTTAGGCGGCTCCATCAGTCCTTAAATCGTAGGCTGTAACACGCATGGCCTAGGACTTTAGATTTAAAACTCAAGATGATGGCAGAGAAAAGGCATGCAATAGACATGGAATATAAAGTTTTTGCAGACAAACTAGACAATATACTGCGACATGTCAACCCGAACCATCCAAAGCTAATAAGCTAGAATAGCGTCTGTATCACCGAATTTCAATCAACTTGAATCATCTTACGACCTAACTTCCTAAAGCAGTTTGATAATGGTAGCCTAAGATATGACTTGCCTTAAACCATAGATACACAAAAGTCGACCGAACTTGACTGAGTTAATCAAGCTGCCCTAGCACAGGTCTATGGATTAGGCGACTACAGCTATGCCATAAATCCGAAAAACAAATACGTAGCCATGATTAACTTTCGATGCCACATATTCGCAAGCATGTGGGAGAGATAAAGCCAGGTTTTCGTTTATGTTTGTTGTCCTTAGTCTATAACCAATTTAAATATGTTATTAAGGAAGTAATGACCCCTCAGTCATTGAGGTTGTAAAGCGCATTGACTCAAGTGACTACCGAAGTAATACTAAGTTCAGAGTTTGTAGTCACGTGTATACCAACAACGTGGCCTTCTTGATAGCCACAATTATTCTAAATTCTAACATATGTTAGTATTTTTTACCTACAGGCTGACGCAATGTCATGACCGGCTTGTTGCATGTCTTCTCCCATATATTCTTGATAAGATTTTCGGAGAGGGGAAAGATTAAACAGCTATCCGCTGTGGCCGCTGCCAACCTGCCAGTTAAATATCTCCCAGAATCAAGTTCAATTCGAATTTCCGATACCAAAAAAGTGTAAAATCTGGTGCTGGGTGGCAATGAAGATCATCATTGACTTGGAATGTAAAACATGTTTATTCCTCTTCTAGCCAGGGTTTATGGTTACTCCTACATTGACCAATCCCCATCGTGTCCTTCACTACACTGTAATAATAAATCAGCTGTTCAAATGTCCTGATTTAGCGCCTTAATGTCCGAATAGTTTTATTGAATCATATATTATGTAATTTTCTTCGATATCGTGTCATAGCTAGATAGCTCTATATGCGATTAAAATCCGATGTAAAAATAAAAAAAGAGACCTAGTTTACACTCGTCTTAGTGAGCATCTCTCATCCATTCAGTCTCTAGTCCAAACTGTCTACGTAAATGTCTTAATTTTACTGAGTGTATCTGTTCTGATGGATCATCTGTTTGTGCACTACTATATCAAAGTGTACACTTTCTTGTTACCTGATTTCACGTTTTACGGGCCGAAGTTGTGTTTCCTTGACCTAGTTACGGAAGACCAACTAAACTAGAACAATAGCCAATAATTATATAATATGACAATTAAGATAATGACGCTCATCTCACTAGTATTCCTAGATTAGTCATGTCGCGCTCGGTTACTGTATGTAGATGTCTCTCCTACCTCCAAATATCTTAAGAACAGATGATTGGTTTATCAGGAAGTAGATCATTTTGCTTTGCACTAAGCGTAGTGCATCTCTCAGTTGCTGAGTCATTGTCTTGATGCCTCAGCCAATACCACGAACTACAAGTTCGCAATGTTCTTGGATTGTGATAAACAATAGTCCATTAAAAAAAAATCCCCCAAGAATACATACCACACTTTCGTAACTTCCGTTTTGCATTGAACTAACCTTATGTGTACGTAAATTAAGGCCAATCAGAATAGTTGAAATTTTCCAAGTGTTAAATTTTCCAAGTGTTAAATTCCCTTTTTTACACCTAGGACACCTTTTCTTTTTTTTTAAATCATTTAATGTGTATGCAGCTATAGAGCTATGACACATGACCGGTGCTATGTATACATATTGGATGACTCTTTTGACGTTAGAGACACTCATTGTCTGGATTTCATTTGCAAATAACACTCTGTGGTACGCTTGCTAACAAACACAGTTGATCCTCCTCCGTAAGTACCCACCAACGGGAATTTCGAACTCTTTGGTTATCCAAGCATGCCTCGTCGTCCACGTATACCAGCGCCACAAGAAATGTGGTTGTGTTTTGCCGGATTCGAACCAGCGATCTACTGTCTCAAGTGGGATATGTGTCCAAGCTATCCAGACTCTACCTGGCAGACGGGCCAAGACGATGTACCACCGCACCATCCAACCATGGAGGTGTTTATAGTGTCGCCTGCACTCTCGCAACCGAAAACTTGGCACGCACAAGGCTCAATCTGTAAAAACACCTTGCCAAAATTTGAAATTTCACGCCCGTAAAGAATGTATCCATCCTTTGCATCATCTTATCAACTCGTCCTGATCCCTCTCACTTCCATCCCAAAACACAGTCTTCCAGATATGTGCGCCACGCTTTGCTTCCTCCGTCGGGTATAAGTATCGGCGTGGGCGTGTATCTGGCGACCAGCTGAGGCCAGAGAAAGTCGACAGGAGGTGTGGTCATTGGAATCAGGATGTACTAGGTCGTACTTGTAGACTTGATGAGGCTCAGGTAGGATTCGATCTCTTTGGCTGTGAAAACTTGACGTGGTGGAGTAGTTTGAATCATTGCCTCGTGGGCCAACTTGTTCGATATTGCGAAATTTGACTGAACTTGGCTCTGGGAGAATATTTCACTCCAGGTTCGTAGAGGACACCGCGTACAGGTGTTCAGTCTTGCCCTCCACTTCCGTTCATTATTCATGTTAGGTATTTGGATATGGATATACGTTTTGATCAATAACAATTCTACCCAATGTTTGTGCTAGCATATTACCTAGAGTCGGTGTTACGGGTCGACCGTGTTGTGGCTTAGGCAGGCACCTAAGCAAGATCGAAGGTGGTTACATCATTTCTAAATCATAAGAATGGCGTGTAAGGAAACATCTGATATGACGTGCGAGTTGGAATGTGGTGATGTTTGAGTGAGAATGAAATGACGTCTGGTTAAAAGACTACCTAATAGTGAAGGAAGGGACGAGTTAGACAGGATTATAAGTAATCTTCTTTGGTAGCAATAGTTTCCTTTCTTCTTTAATTAGTTCAATACATCGAATTTCATCACAGCCAGCTTGTTTCTATCTCAGTCGATGACAAACTGACACTTTGCTTACCTCCACGCATTTTGAAGACTGGGCAAGGCCAGAGGTTTGTTCGAGAGCCCTCGGGTAGACTCTCGTGTTGTCTAACATGACGTTTGCATGCTTTTTTCGGATTGGGGAATTTTTAAAAAAGCCAGGACCTCGATCATAATTCAAGATGGATGCGAAGGGTTCGAGGGGGGGAAGGGAAACAGGGAACATTCGAAAATTGTCAGTAATGGTAACTTCGATTATGTGTTACAGCTAAATCCCTGAATGCATATCAAATAATCTACAAAAATTTAAAAACATTCAAAGCAAAAAGAGGGTAATGGCCATAATACAGGAAGTGGGGAAGAATGTTATTCGAACCCTAGACATGGCTGAATGGAGTCCTAGGGAGGAGGGCAAGACTGAACACCTGTACGCGGTGTCCTCTACGAACCTGGAGTGAAATATTCTCCCAGAGCCAAGTTCAGTCAAATTTCGCAATATCGAACAAGTTGGCCCACGAGGCAATGATTCAAACTACTCCACCACGTCAAGTTTTCACAGCCAAAGAGATCGAATCCTACCTGAGCCTCATCAAGTCTACAAGTACGACCTAGTACATCCTGATTCCAATGACCACACCTCCTGTCGACTTTCTCTGGCCTCAGCTGGTCGCCAGATACACGCCCACGCCGATACTTATACCCGACGGAGGAAGCAAAGCGTGGCGCACATATCTGGAAGACTGTGTTTTGGGATGGAAGTGAGAGGGATCAGGACGAGTTGATAAGATGATGCAAAGGATGGATACATTCTTTACGGGCGTGAAATTTCAAATTTTGGCAAGGTGTTTTTACAGATTGAGCCTTGTGCGTGCCAAGTTTTCGGTTGCGAGAGTGCAGCTGACACTGTGAAAGCAAGCCGACGATGGAAAGTGTCGTGATCCGCCTCCTGGTGGACATATGTAGCGGGTTACGTAATGTGATTATGTAATAAGAACTAGTGGTGCGTTGGTCGTCTATTTACGCGTCGCGGGGAGAAAACAACAGCGTACTTGCGACTTCCCATAGCCCCGAACCCTAACATATTTCTGGTGACCTACGCAGGGAACTCTGGAGTGGTATTGTACATAGGTTGTAAGCAACGAAGTTAGGTAACGCCTACTTTTCCACACGCTGTAGAACGAATTTTTGTGAGAAACATCTTGAGGACTTGAGGCGAGATTCCGTGAACAAACTG